ATTCAAGCACACTGTACCAGGAGAGAACGTGGCCAAGGGCCATTACCCCAGAAAGCAATGTGGGCCTGACACAGGTTGGCTGGGAACTCAGATCAAAGTCCAGAACGAGGATGACCACATCTGAGGGACAGATGGGTCTTGTTTCAGCTGATGCCAACTTGCTCAGATCCCTCACTAGATCAAACTCCCTTCACCTTTTATCCCCCCACATCCCCACTCCCAAAGAGAGAGGTGGTGGGGGAGACAGAAGGGGAGAGGGAGGGGGGAGACAGAGGGGGAGAGGGAGGGGAGGGGGAGAAGGGGGAGAGAGAAGGGGAGAAGGAGGGAGGAGGGAGGAGGGAGGGGGAAGGGGAGGGAGGGAGAGAGAAACGCCATACAGAAGCACTGCCCTTGGAGATAGATGCCTTCCCAAAGCCAGAAATTGTGAAAAGTCTTCCTGAGCTGAAAAGCTCTGCAATGACTGGGTTTATTCTGAATTCACTAAGATACTATGATTATGCTTCCTGCCATCAGATGTATTAGTAATGCAAAGAGAAATTTAGCTGAGGAAGATTTCCTTTTCAAATACTAGAGTCTACAGTTTGGAAATTACATGCCATCCTCAGCCTTTCTCATTTGCAGGGGGTGAAACTGGACACACTGCACAGTAGAGTTTACCCAGAGTCAGAGATTGGAAAGCGAAGCACTAGGTCTGGGTAGCAGAACAGGCAGGAAGGAACAATACCTTTAATAACGATTTAACTGAGCAAAACTAGTAGTTAATTCCCTTAGGCGCAGCCACAGTATTCAACTGTAGAAACTCAAATTAAACAAACTGAACGAGACTAATTAGAAAAAAATGTAAACATGCATGATGTAAATGTAAGACCCCTTGTTACAAATTGCAGGAGATGCATTAGGAGGTTGTGACATGAGGGATTCTGGATTCCAGGAAGGGCATCACCGACACTACCCTGGGGCCAGGGCAGGAAGGGAGAACAGCAAGCCCTGGAAAGATGTGAGGCGTTGAGATGACAGTCACAGGTGAAAATGCCAGTACTTAAGTAGAAATGAGTTGTCAATTGGAATGTAGTGAAAACAAGCACAGTCTACCTAAGTCTTAATTTGAGCTCTGCAAAAGCATAGTGTGAGATCACTGGGACATGCAGCAAGTTGAAATTTGCTTTTGTTATATTAATGGAGGAAGAGTGTTAAGAAAATTAACAGTAAGACAGCGCGGCAGGTAGGGTGTACAAACAAAGGGAACAAACTGTGTCCCATCACCCTGAAGCACTTAGAAGAAGCCATTAACATATAAACAATAGTCAGACTAATCACATATCACTGGTAACTACCCATGGGAGGAGGCACTATAAAAGATTGTTATTAGGTGATATTTAACAGACTTGGTTCTGTTTCTCCCCTCACCTATGAGTAATAAAACCAAGTTTTATTCGCATTATTTTGTAATTAAGGTAATTTACTAATTCAGACAGGTCTCCCTTCCAGTTACTTCTAATTAGGTTTCTCATCATTAAGAATCAGAGATTCAGGAAACTGCTGGTGAATTCACCGGCAAAATTAAGGGCTTTCTGTGTGAAGAGTTTTGTATTTGCCTTGCATTTGGACAGCCTTATATTCAGATACCGCATTCATTTTCTGACAAATGGGTATTGGATTTGTCCAGTACCCATTTTTCAGTTCCCAGAATCTACCAGAAGTTTTCAAGCTAGTTCCCCTTCCCTTGAAAACTTCTGGTAGCTTCTTGAAGCCCATATAATCCCTTAATTCCAAGGCGTAGGTCTTGAGAAGGTGAGCTGGATGTGATCTCGAAAGTACAAGAAATTGGAAACTGTGAAGGGAGCCAGAGGCTGGGCTGAGAATCTTGAACCCAAGACCACATAGGGTTAGTTATGCAAGGCCCATGTAGAGGATGGGATGGGTGAGCCCACTCCGGACCTCCCTGCTCATTTCCAAGAGCCTAACATGCTTAGGAAGGCAGAGTAGGTTAGAGTGGTGGAGCAGAAGCTAGAATTCTTCTGGGAGGTGGGAGGAAGGAACACGCTCTAAGCCTGTGAACGAAGTGCCAGTAAGATCTAGACAGGGATGTTTTGTCTCCTTCCGAAAGGGCGTTGGGGTTCAGAGGATAAGAACTAGAATGTGAGATGGGAAACTAAGTCAGAAGCCCAGGTATGTGGACTGAGCAAGACAGCTGAGACAACGTAAGGCTGCTGTGTGCTAGAGATGGATTCCCCAAGGCTAGACAAACTACTGTTACCAGCTCATGGTGCCTCAGCTAATTCCATACCCCACCCACTGGAATCTAGGACCTGGTCTCATAATGATTAGGGACAAACTGAACAGGCTTGCAGACAGGGACTGGGCAGGGTAGAGGCTGAGGGGTGGAATCAGGGTTAATGAGAGCCCCCACCCACCTCTGTCACAGTGAATACAAGCTTTATCTTGCTTATTTGACAAAATGTTGGTAGTCGACAAAAAAAAAAAAAAAAAAAAAAAAAAAAAAAAAAAAAAAAAAAAAAACACACCACACTTTAAGTCAATGTGTGTTGAGTATGACTAGCGTAGTAGTAGGTCCTGGAGAAAACATGAAACAAATATAAGGCATTCCTTTTACTCAAGGAGCTTGAGGACTCTAACAAATTCACCCAACACATACAGAAACAGTAGTTTAAGACAGCGTTGCATTCAGTGGCAAGAAGAGAGGTACAGTCCGTGACGCTAATGAAGCTCAGGGAGGGGTGAGTCAAGGAGGGCTTCATGGAAGAAGAAACCCAAGCAGAGCTTTAAAGAGTGGATAAAATTGAGATAAATAGATGAAGATGGAAGGCAGGTCCGGGTGGAAAGATACACCATGGATTGTCAGAATTAGATGCTTCACAGAAAGTCACTTGCTAAGTGAGTCTTGCTAAGACTCTTGGCACCAAGAATGCCTAAAACAAATGAGATGTATGGTTGTTGCTGTTACCTTTATTTTTGTGACTTTTACCGTTGTTGCTATTTTTTAATGCTATTTTTTTAGTGCTTTTAATAAAGGCAATGAGGATTAAAGGGATACATTTGGGAGACAGCAAAAGGGGCATGGTTGTGAATTTCTTCTCCAGAAGTATGTCGGATAAAATGAATTGCAGCGAACAAGGGCTGGCATCAGAACTATTTCTGTATGAATAATGCAACCAAACTGCTTGTGCTCAAAGGGGATCAGAAAAAAGTTACTAAGAAATGTAAGCTAAGTTCTCACAAATACCACCACTCATCACCGTGTAACTAAAAATCACAGTGTTTTAGTCAAGACATGTGTCTCTCAAATAATGAATCTGAGCATTCTAAGCTCCTGGCCAGACACAATTCCTCTCTGCTTTTCTCTTTGTCCAGTGGTCCAGCTGTTTTGCTGCAAACGTATCAGTAGGAATCAGATAAAGACGCTGTGATTCTCTTTAGTGTCTGGTGATAATGTTGCTAGGATAGAGAGGACAAACCCTTATAGAGAGGATTTGTTTGTTCGCATGTTCCAAACATCCCTGTAGGTGCTGTATTCAAAAAATGGCAAATGAGACTTCAGCTGAGATTGATTCTTGCCTGAGTCTCAGAATAACCACCTTATTGCTGATTATTATCCCCGTTGCAATGGAGGGCCTCTCTCCATTCTGCTTGCTGTCATGTTCTAAGAATATCAAAGAGGCCGCACCGGCAGCAATACTGAGTGGAGTCCTGTGCTTCCTGGGTGCACAAAGCCTGACAAGACAGACTCTCTGGGTCTGCAGGCTGATTTTATAAAGGGGATTATTCAGTCATCATTAAGTGGTAACAAACTCTAATTTCACTTTCCATGCTACATTGTGGAGCTGTGCAGCTGGGCTATGTGTATGCATTAGGAGGTGATTCTGAGGGACAGGGTTTTACTGCAGCCATTTGAGGAGTGGTTTGCTCAGGCTCTGCTTTGCTACAGGGACTTTAGGGCCCTTGAAGTGTAAGTGACTCCTGGGACAGCTCCCTGCTGAAAGTTTTATTCTGAATATTCAGAAATATTCACACAGTTTGGGTAGGGAGTTGGATGTTACAGTAATGCTTCTTCATTGTGTGAAAACTAAGTCATTTCAAGAACATACAGAGGATTAACAACCACAACAACAGCAAAACCCAACAAAGCAACAACTAGAATCTTCTCAAAGTATTTTTTTCTTTGGTGAAAGGGACCCGTTTGAGACCTGTGAATTATTGCAACGACTAAACATATCATCAGGCAGGGAGTGAAATAACCTGAAAACCCAGCATCCTGATGCAAGAAGCAGGAAGCTGTTGTTTTCCCAGATGCGTGGTTCATTTCTGTCCACAAGATCTTATTGCAGAATAGGAAACAATACAGTATTAGCTTAATGAGGATCCTTCCTCAGTGTGGCCCTTGGATACTTTGAAGGTGAAACTCACCAAACTCTGCCTTCTAGGAGGTAACTTGTCGCAAATAGTGGCATCGTCAACTACCTTCAAAGAAATCTGCTTCTCACTGATGTTTAATGAAAAGGATCATCAAAGAAAGTGTCGTCCTTCCTGCCTTACTCAATGCTGTTTCTCATCACATCAGTCACTGCCCTGGTGACTGTGAGCTTTCCACACCTTTGGTGTTCCTAGCAAAAAACTCACAGCTGTAACCCCTACTAGAAACAGACATTTCAAGTACTGCTACAGGATTAATTAAAAGTGCTTTCACCTGAGGAAAGGGGGAAAGCAAGTATCTTCCAGTCATAAATTTTACTCATGATTCACACATTTCCAGCAGCGTCAGAAAGAAAAACACCACCTGTATTCATCAGACGCTATTATCTAGGTCTCTGCACACTAAAGCTTGTTGCTTTAGCACTTCAGACTTTTCAAAATCCTTTTTAGTAAAGAAAATAAACAATACTCTTTCACAATACTGGCTAGGAAATTTTAAATGACACTCTTAAGTTCCACCAGTCTCATTATTAGAAGTCAGTGTTCAGAGTCAAAGGCAGGAAACTTACCTTAAAGGAATAGTAGAAGGAGCCCCATTCCTTTCCTTCCACCACTTCAGTAAAAGTCACTGTTTCAGTGCATGCCACTGGGGAAGAATCCAGCGTCTGCCTGGTCCCATTAGAATCGAGGCTGCTCTCTGTGAAGTTGGCTGGCATGGCTCAGGCGGGGTTGAACCTTGCTGTCCCTGATCCTGCAGCCGAGTGAAGGTGTCCAGCTCGCCTCCTGAGAGCTGGGCAGCAGCTGCAGCTCTGCTGAGCAGAGGCACAGAACTCTCCCTGAACCCACCTCACTGAAGAGCTCTGCCTGATGACGGGGAGGATCCACGTGCTGCTCGCTCCTTGGAAATTACCACGGGGTAGCCAGCACAGCACAACCCTCGTCATCCCACAGTCCCACGCACGGACGGGGCCCCACCCACGGACGGAGCCCCACCCACGGACGGGGCCCCACCCACGGACGGAGCCCCACCCACGGACGGGGCCCCACCCACAGACGGGGCTCTACCCCAAGAGCAAAGTGGAGCCCACCACAGCCATCGACGTGGCTCCCTGGATGGGACCCCTGCTCTGTTGTGCTTTTCCTGACTTCCACAGAAGACCCCCTACTTCGGCTGTTGCTTCAACAATACAGAAATTTGGACTAATCAGTAGGTGCCAGAATTCCGGTCATGTTTTCACTTTTGAAATCAAATCATAATTATGCATTTATTTCAGCTGAGGTTGCTTTCTGACTTAAAGATTACCTTGTGATCTACTCTGTCATGTACTTTTATTTCCGCAAATATAGGCAAATACTACATTTGTATTTTACACCCATAATTCTATCTAGATGTTCACAGGGCAATTCTCAGAAAAGCATGAGATCTGTGTTTGCCAATAAGCTACAACACCTCGTGATATGACTGGGAGGAGCCTCGTGAAGACTCTTATTGCCTTCAGAATATTCACCTGTTTACCTAGGACCAATACTCAGGGCGTGGGTAGAAAGGACGTAGTGTAGTATCCTGGGCTCCACAGACAAGGCTAGGCAAGAATATTAAGAGCTGCTCCTGTTTCTCTCTTTCTCTTTCTCTCTCTCTCTCTCTCTCTCTCTCTCACTCTACAAAGCACATTTACATGTTCTTTCATTCAATTTCCAAAAAACCCCATGAGATAGGTAAGGAATGTATCTTTATGTTATCCCTTATGCTAGCAGAGTGGCTCCAACAGGTGAAATGTCTTGCCCAAGATCCCACAGCTGCTGGTGTAAATGAGCTGATAACCCATCTCCAGCATTTCCTAGACAGTGGTGCTTTTACTGTAACAGATTAGTTTGCATCAAATCTCAAATGCCTATGGGGCATGAAGGTAACATGAATGAGGGTGGCAGGCCAAGTCTAGAACAGTAGGAACTAAGCTGCCTATAAGACAACCAAGCATAACACCTGACTGCTTACGCTGAAAGCACTCTGTGAGCCAAACAGGTCCAGTCACTGGTTTGTGACAACTGGTATAAGAGGTAGCAGGTTTAGAGGCCACCATTAAAGAACTTGGTCCTATGAGATCTCCCGGGAAAGCTTTATTATGAACCATCCAGCCCCAAGGAGGGCAGAGTGCTCTAGCAATGAGAAGGCATTAAGTTTATAAGGGCAGCAAACAGAAGGGAGTTGTGCAGAAAACTGGATAAGCTGTGGGTTCTTAAAGAAAGGGTTAAAACAGGACAGCAACTCAATAGCAAAACAAGTGCAGCATGTTCCAGCTAACAGATAAGCATGAAAATATGTTCAACCATATTAACAATTAAGGAAAATAACTCAAAGCAGTAAGAATTTTTACCTCTCAGCATAGTAAAAGCTAGTGTATGGCTATTCCCAAGTGGTGACGAGATTGAAGGGAAACGGCTGTGCATCTTCTGGTGAGAGTTAGTTGACATGGTAATTTTGAAGAGCAATTCAGCAGTATTTAGTAAAGCTGGAATTACATATCCTCTAATGCACTGTTCCATTTGCTAGATCCTAATAATTTTTCATCTCTATCTGGGTTACTTACATGTGCTCAGTTCACAGAAATTCTTTGCACTGCAAACTTAAAACACATGCACTTTTCTGTAGGTATGTTTTACTTCAAGAAAATGTTCATAAGACAAAATCTGTGAGGAACTTTTGAAAGAAGGTAGAAGCTGGTTAGGTCACAGTGTGTAGGAGCAGAGTGAGGGAAAGTGGCAGCTCCCATGGACAGAGAATAGGTGGGGAGGGAGAGCTTTCTGGTTGTGTCCTTTTCTTTTCATTCATGATTCAGGTAGATCGTTGTTCAACCTGTGGCTACCCAAGAGAAACATGTATGTATCTGTACAAGCAGACATGCAAAGAGATGCCTTTCCAACTTTATTAAAGAAACATACCAGGAGCAACCTGAATATTCATAATGTCAAAATCAATGAATCATCCCAAACTGGAAACCACCCAAATGTCCATCAACTGGCTGAATCAATTTTCATGTAGTCACACAATATAACAATGAGAAAATGATCTGCAGCCAAAAATAACATAAATGGAACTTACAAACATAATATGAAGCAAAATAATAAATGTTTGTTTTCATTTTTATAAAGTATAACTATGCTTGTATACAATACAGTGGAATATTACACAGTAGTTAATAGAAATAGCTGTGGACAAGATGACAAATTAACATAGTATAATGATTAACTTTATGTTTCAGCTTGACAAGGCCATGGAATGCCCAAATAGTTAAACACTATTCTGGGTGTGTCTGTGAGGGGTGGCTCTGGATGAGATTACATTTGAATTGGCAGACTGAGTAAAGCAGATTGCCCTCCATAAGGTGAATGGATCTCATCCATTCAATTAAAGGCCTGAATAGAATAAATAGGGTAATTCTTCTGTGAAAAAGGGAGAAATTCTCCTGTCTGACTACTTTGACCTGGGACATTTTTTTCTGGTTTTTGGACTTGAACTAAAACATCAGTTCTTCTTGAGTCTCGAGCATGCTAGCTTTCAGAGTGGAAATATACCACCAGCTCTCCTGGTTCTCAGGTCTTTATATTCAGACTGGAACTACACATAGCTCTCCTGGGTTTTCAGCTTGCTGCTTGTAGGTCTTGGGACTTCTTAGTCTCTTTTAACTGTGTGAATGATTATTTCATATTGTATTCTTTATAAGACATTTCTCTCTCCCTTCCCTACAGACACACACACACAGACATACACACACACACATACATCTCCTATTACTTCTGTTTCTCTGGAGAACTAATACACATTCTCACCTGAACTCATTTGTAGAAATTCCATAAAAATGAGAGCAGCATTGATGAAATGCAGGACTTAAAGAAAAACCAGAAGACATTTGCTGGAATGGCTTAAATGATAAAGATGGAAAATACAACCCGTTGGTGAGGATGTGGAGGAAAAACTAGCATACCCTACTGTAGTGATTCAAATTGGTACAAGCCCCTTTAAAAAACTACTCAGTAGTATCATCTACTGCAGAACGCCTGCATGCTCTATGACCTAGCAGTGAAACTGCTAAGAAAATACCCAACACAAATGAGCACACATATTAACCAAAAAATGTTTAACAATCAATATGGCAGTTCTGTTTGTAATAGCCTCCAACTAGAAGCTACCTAAGTGTCCTTCAATAGTAAAATAAAAAAAATAATTGTGGTATAGTCACACAATGGGAAACATACACTAATGCAAATGAATGATGCTGAGATGCTGTTAATACTCTGTTCATTGATTGGACTGATAGGAACCTGAAGGTGTTCCACTTGTGAAAATGCATTGAGCTTTATATACTTATAATTTCTGCATTCTTCTGTATGTATGTTATACAAGCTTATTTATTTAAAACTTTGAGAAAATCCTGGAGGTGGATTAGAATCTGACTGAGTCACGTTTGATAAAGATGGGAGCTTGGATGGGGAAATGGCAAATTAGACTAGGCAAAGGCAAGGAGCTATGAACAGGAGATAGGCTGAGAGAGAAGTCTTTTTAGTTGTGTCTTTTTCTGAACACACTGTCCAGGTGGCTCATTGCTTGGCCTGTGGTTACACACAGCAGAAACTGGAGCCTGGCCTGGAGATGGGCGATGGGGGTGCGCTGTAGGAGCAGGGAAGCAGATCACAACACATACAGATGGGCAGCCTGGCACTGAGTATTTCTTCTTGTCCATCTGTATTAGGTTGAAATCAAGGTGTTGGCTGAGACTGGGGACTCATCACAGGGTCAACTGGGGAAGGATCTGCTTCTAGGTCCTCAGAATTGTTGGCAGAATTCATTTCCTGTGACTATGGAACTCAGAGCAGCTTGTCTTTTCAAAGCCAGCAAAGTGGGGAGAGATTTTAACAAGATGAGTACAACACTCTTATGTAATTACACGCATGTCATTGTATATGTCCTGTTACCACTGGCGGAAAGCAAGTCACATAGTCTGCTCACCCTCAGGAGAAGGGGATTATAGAAAAGCATGAAAACCAGGTGTCAGGTATTATGAGGGGGAAGTCACCTTAAAGTCTATCCTCCACACCACTCCATGGGCTAGATGTTTGCAAATGAAGAGGCAGCTTGTGAAAAAGACCCAGGAAGCCCAAGCATAGCCATTCACAACCATAATCACAGCACTTTGGGAGGCCAAAGTGTGGGGATCACTTGAGCCCAGGAGCTCCAAGACCAGCCTGGGCAACATACATCCCTTTTCTACAAAAAAAGTAAAAGCAATTAGCTGGACATGGTGGTGTGTGCCTGTGATCCCAGCTACTCAGGAAACTGATGTGGGAGGATTACTTGAGTCCAGGAGGTTGAGGCTGCAGTGAGATGTGATGGCACCACTGTACTTCATCTGGAATGACCTGAGATTCTACCTCAAAACAAACGAACAAATAAGAAGACCAAGGAAGAATGGAGCTAAGTATTTAAGGCATACCAACAGGAAATAGTATAAAAACAAATAGCTGGGAAAACTACTAAATAGATGTTTTGAATGACCAGAGAAAAGAATGAATGAGAGAAAAGATGAAAAACTCTCAGAAGATATTAAAAGTGACAATATTATGAAAAAATGGGACAAATAGTTAAGGAATATGTGCAATGAATATAGATGTCTGAGCATCTATATACTGAGTCCTAGAGGGAGAGTTAAAAATCAATGGAAGAGATTGGAAAACAAAATTTATGAAACAATTTTATTTATAATCCATAAAAATTCCCAAAATTTTGACATGTAAAATTCTTGAGAATAGATTTACAAAAGACATAAAATATCTTTATAAAACATAGCAGAAAGAAATGAATAAAGACACGAGGAAATTGAGAGGAATACCAGTTCAGGGATTGGAGGACTTGGGA